TTCTCATAGCACTTTGTAAACAACTCCGTTATAATGCTTCACGGTGTGTTACAATTTATTTCTTTTATGTGTCTGTTTACTGAGAGTCAAGAGCTGTTTTCTACTCCTTACTTTTCCAGTAGCCTCCTGATCAGGGCCTGGTACTTACAAGGCCTGTGGTTTTGCTGAGCTGTGTGTACTTCAATACTTAAGCTTTGCTAGGATGCAAGTCTTTAACTTCTGAGTTTCCATTCTTTTCCTCTTTCTCTCTAGCTCTCTTACTGAGAACTGGGGAGATCCCACAAGAAAGGATCTGTCCAGTCCTCAGCAAGAGAGTCTTTCCAGAATATTACCGTCTCAACATCAGTCAGAATGGTGATTATTAAAAAGTCAAGAAACGGCAGATGCTGGTGAGGTTGTGGAGAAATAGAAACACTTTGACACTGTTGGTGGGAATGTAAATTAGTTCAACCATTGTGGAAGACAGTGTGGTGATTCCTCAAAGATCTAGAACCAGAAATACCATTTGACCCAGCAGTCCTATTGCAGGCATTTGGTGATTTGTGGCCTTAAAATCACAAACCTGTGACCTTGGTATTTTTAGCAACACACTGGACTAAGGAACAGTGGACCCATATGTTCATTGCAGAACTATTTGAAAAAGCAAAGACAGGCAATCAACCCAGTGCCCACTGATGATAGACTGGATAAAGTTGTGGTACATATATATACACCATGGAATACTCTGCAACCATACAATGGAACGAGGTCATATCCTTCGCAGGGACATGGGTGGAGCTGAAAGCCATTATCCTCAGCAAACTAATGTAGGAATAGAAAACCAAACACCACACATTCTCACTCATAAATGGGACTGAACTGGTGAGAACACACGGACACAGGAAGGGGAACAACACACACTGGGGCCAATAAGAGGTGGGGGATGGGGGAAAGGAGGAGAGCATCAGGAGAAATAACTAAGGCATGCTGGGCTGAATGCCTAGGTGATGGGTTGATACGTGCAGCAAACCATCATGGTACGCATTTACCTACGTAACAAACCTGCACATTCTGCACATGTACCTCAAAACTTAAATTTTTTTAAGATGACACATTTTATCTATGTGTATTTATTTTATCTTATTTTTTATTGCACTTTAGGTTCCGGGGTACATGTACAACATGCAGGATTGTTGCATAGGTACACACATGGCAATGTGGTTTGCTGCCTCCATCCCCCCGTCACCTACATCTGGCATTTCTCCCCACGTTACCCTCCCCAACCTCCCTACCCCCCACTGTCCCTCTCTTAGCCACCCCCAACAGACCCCAGTGTGTGATGCTCCCCTCCCTGTGTCCATGTGTTCTCATTGTTCACCCTCCTGTGAATGAGAACATGTGGTGTTTGATTTTCTGTTCTTGTGTCAGTTTGCTGAGACTGATGGTTTCCAGATACATCCTTGTCCCTAGAAAGGACACGAACTCATCATTTTTTTATGGCTGCTTAGTATCCCATGGTGTTTATGTGCCACATTTTCCTTGTCCAGTCTATTGTCGATGGGCATTTGGGTTGGTTCCAGGTCTTTGCTATTGTAAACAGTGCCGCAGTGAACATACGTGTGCATGTGTCTTTCTAGTAGAACGATTTATAATCCTTTGAGTATATATATACCCAGTAATGGGATTGCTGGGTCAAATGGATCCTCATTAGACTCTAAATGCTTGAGGATAGATTTTCAGCACTCTCCTGTGTACTCAAACACATGTATGTTGGAATAGTATCCCAGCTTGCTACTCTCTTCTTCTCATAGTAAGTTCTAGAATTTCCTGATGTTCTCTCTTTTTGACCTCGGCTTCAACAAATTTATTAATTCAATCAGTGCAGTTCAAGTTCAATTCATCAAGCTTTTATTGAGTGTCTCTTACTTGCTAGTCACTGGACTAGGATTTGGGGGTAGAGATGAATAAAATGGTGCCTCCATTAGAGGTGTTTCAGATTTAGTGGGAGAGACAGATGAGAAAACAGAATTTCTCTAGAATGTGGTTAGGGCAGTGATAGAGGTGGACACATTATGGGAGCCCAGAACAGGGTTTCTTTTCCTCTAAGAATCCCATTGTTCCTGCTTTCTAACAGGTGAACAGGGTAGCCAGCTGTCATTCCTGTCTCAAGGAGTATTTGAACAGTGGGAGTTAGGAGGCAGCCAGTGGCCAATGCACATCAATTAAAGACCCAGCTGGTAGCCCTCCTGCATTGGAGGAGAGAGAAGAAAATTCTGAGGGCCGGGACAGCACGAGGCTGCAGGCTGCACGGCCCTGGCCATAGCGTGGTTGGGAGAGTTTGGGGAGCAGGTAGTTTCAGCCAAGGACTAACTTGGTGACATGGGCATACGTCATGGCTGGCTGTGTGAGACTCCACAACGAATACCATATTTTTTCTTCCTTCTTTCAGGTTAGCTTTGCTTTTGTTCCCTTCCCCATTTCTCTTGACATTTGCTTCTCTCCCTAGTTTTTATTTATTTCCTTTCCTGTTTATATCCCTGCATTTTCTTTTACTGCTCACTCTTCCATCATCTCATTCTTCTTTTTCTCTACCATGTTTCCCATCTACATTTGAGCCTCCTTTCACTTTTAATTGTATCTTTCTGCTTCTACCACTGTGTTCTGAAACATACCTGTTAAACTCAGGGTTGGAGAGGAGATTTTCATTTCCAGCAGGGCTGTTTATGACATGAAAAGTGTGTCTCATGTGTATCTGAGTATCCTAGGAAACAGAAGTTTAATTTCTAACTCATATTCTGCATACTGTGTTTAGAAGATACTGTTGTGAAAGGAGAGTCTCCCACCCAGGCAGCACAGGGAGACTGTGCTGTGCACCTCACGTTTATTACAAGAACCAGCAAAACAATGATCCCTTTTCTTGCCATGATTCTCTTATCTCCACACCTGTCCTTGAAGTTTCTCTTTATCTGTCGTCTTTCTCCTTTATTTCTGTCATTTTTTCAGTTCTATTTTCCATGTGTGTCTTTGTTCCTTTTTCTCTTTAGTCCTTCCCTACTCATTAGAAATTTTATGACCCCATCCTTAATGTCTTTCCTTGGCCTTGGAAGATAGAGTCAAAAGCGGTGTGGAAGACTCTGATCCCCCAGGTCACCCCGGTTTGCAACAGTGGCATGGAAGTGTGAGTCACAAGAGATGGGGAAGATTCGGAAACCTCGTCTAGCCCTTGAGATTCTTTATGAGTAGGATTTCTTTCTGCTTCTTATTTTTAGGTAGCATGAACGTAGACTCAGAGAATCTTAAGGTTGACGGGAATCTCTACTGGTTGTTGATATAACCTTCAGCCCATGTAGGAACGCTCTTTACTTCCCAGTGATGCCCCGTAGGCAGCCCCCGGATACCTGGAGTTTTGGGAAGGCTGCCAGCACATGAAGCCGTCTGCTTGGCTGTTAGCAGCGCTCCTTGTGTCAGTTACCACGTGTGATTCTGTTGTCCTGGTCTGTATGATTCGTACCCAATGATTGTATGTCTGCTTCCAAGGGCCGCAGGATGTGCACTTTCCACATTGTTCTCTTTCTGAGATTGAAGACGTGTCGAATATTGAAGGCATTCCTGGTACCTTCTTTAATGCTTGAACTATTTCAGAGAGGTTCCATCGGAAATAAACAAAACAAGCTGTTCTTGCCACCCTTTGACTGTAGAGGAACCCAGTTTTCTGAATGCCTCATTTCCTGGTGTTGCTGGGTAGCAGGGATTGTTCTGGAGGGGTTATGAGGGAGAAACTTCCTTTCATTCTTAACAGAAAGAAGAATATAATGAGCAAGTTTTTAATGAGTATTTTATTAATATTAGTAAGCTTTGCATTAGCCACAGTGTCTGTGTGCACATTGTAGTTTGAAGAACTGAAAAATATGACACACATAGAAAAAGAGAAAGAGGGGAGAGAGAGGGAAAAACTTCAAGGACAGGTGTGGAGATAGAGAATCACAGGAAAAGGGATCATTGTTTTGCTGGTTCTTGTAATAAAGGTGAGGCGCACAGCACAGTCTTCTGTGCTGCATGGGTGGGAGATTCTCTTTTCACGATGGTGTCTTCTAAACACAGTATACTGTAATATTAAATACCATGTCTTTTTATTTTTACAACTAGACCACGGTACCCTCTCATTTTACAGATGATGGGGATGAGGTTCATAGAGGTGGAGAGACTTGTGTCGAGTACCCCGTTCTCACAGAATGAGTCAGACTTAAACTCACTTTAGTGCGTTTAGTCTTCTGCTGTGTTTTTCATAAATTCACATATGTCCTTGTCTCTCCAAAGTCCCTGCAATGTCATGAGACTATATGAAATGCCTCCCTGGTGTACACAATCTAATAGAATTATGGATTTGTGTATGTGTATGTGTGCATTTCTTTATATGGCTGTGGAATGTGGAAAAATAGAAACAACGAAATCCAATTAGGGTCAAAGAGTGGTTTTGTGCAATTATAAAAATACTGACACTATGTGAAGACCAATGAAGTCATTCTCCAGTTGTAAGGATCAGTGTAATTGATTTGTTTGGTACAAATTCTAAGTGTCAAGGTAGAGAGGAGTTAATCCAGAGAAATTTCATGAAGGACATAGATAAGGGAACCTAAGAAAATTTTGAAATAAAAGAATACAAGGGCTTGGTGGCCTGTAAAGAGGAGGAGGAGTTTGAAAAGGGGAAGAGAAGAGAAAGGGGACAAGGTTTGGGGACAGGAGGGGGACAGATGTTGCTGACCTTGTGTTTTGCTCGGGATTTGGAACTAGGGTTCTGGTATGACGATAAGTTTTCCCTCTTTGCAAAGTGAAACCCAGATGGCTAAATTTAATTCCACTTGGAGCCACTGGTGATTCACCCAAGCTCAGGTGCGCCCACATACAGCTGGCGTCAGCGCTGTGTGCTTTCCAGGCTGAGCTTGCCTCAGCCCTGCTTCATGCATGGAAAAGAGAGGAAAGCCAGACTGGTAACCTTGACCCTTCTGTGTCTCTGTCTGCAGCATCCTGGCCACTGCGGGAACCCACTTCAACACTCATGTGGACCTGAGGACCCTCCGGGCTGTGCGTGTCCTGCGGCCCTTGAAGCTCGTGTCAGGGATACCTAGTGAGCATCTGCCTTTCTTTCTGCTTTTCTAAGAACTTTCTTGATGTGTCCTCAGCTGGATCCAGGTCTAAGGGAGTTCGGGATACACAAACAATATTCCTCCTGGGAAAAAGCCCCAGTGGTAATAAATAGTGGAGTTGGAGCAATCTGGCATAACATTTTACTTTTAAATTTAACTTTTTGCAAATATAAAAGGTAATGGAAAATATACACAGAAAATGTGGAAAGTAGACAAAAAAGAAAAGCATTCTTTATCTTTTCACTCAGAAATCACTTTTGTTAAAATTTCAGTATTTTCCATTTTTCTCCTGTGCATTTTAATATAATTGAAATCATTATGTATATCGTAGTTGTATATCCTGAAATAAGTATTTTCCTAACCTTAAAAATTCTTGGCTGGGCACAGTGGCTCACGCCCGTAATCCCAGCACTTTGGGAGGCTGAGGTGGGCGGATGGCTTGAGTTCAGGAGGAGTTCAAGACCGGCGTGGGCAACATGGTGAAACCCGATTGCTACAGAAAATACAACAACAACAAAAATTAGCTGAGCATGGTGACTCATTCCTGTAGTCCCAGCCACTCAGTAAACTGAGGTGGGAGGATTGCATGGGCTTGGGAGGTCGAGGCTGCAGTGGGCCAAGGTAATGCCACTGTAATACAGCCTCTGCGAGAGACCGAGACTCTTGTCTCAAAACAAAAATTCTTACATGTGTTATGATTTATTTAGCCATTTTTATATTTTATGTTGCTGGATGACATAAAAAATAAAAATAGGCTATTTCCAGTTCTTCTCCAACTATAAATGTACTGCAACAAACATCTTTTTGCTTAAATCTTTATTCAAATCTCTGACTGCTCTCTTGGCTAGAATCTTAGAAGTGCAATGTGTGGGTCAAAGGATGTGGCATTTTCTGAACAGTGCCTGTACTCACTAGGCTTCCCCAACAGGGACTGAGAGAACTGGGTCTGAGACAGAGCGAAGGGGAAGATGAACTTTGTCTCAGCTCTTGTGGACTTGACAGCCTAGCAGAGCTGGGCCTAATTTCCTTTAGGAGAAGAGTACACATAAATAAACTTAATCTATCAGAGGAATCCAGCAGGCAGCGTGGAAGAAACCAGCGAGGGAAGAATGACACCAACCCTGCCCTATCAGATGGTGCTGAGGGATGGCTGCATGGGTCACTCTCTGTCCTTCCTTCTAGGCCTGCAGATTGTGTTGAAGTCCATCATGAAGGCCATGGTACCTCTTCTGCAGATTGGCCTTCTGCTCTTCTTTGCCATCCTGATGTTCGCTATCATCGGCCTGGAGTTCTACAGCGGGAAGTTACACCGAGCGTGCTTCATGAACAATTCAGGTAGGGTCACTCTTTTCTGTCGTATCCTTTTCCATTCTTCCCTCTGTTAACTGGGGTTCATTTCAGGGCACTTGGATGCTCGCTGGAAAGGTATGTCCTATTCCAACCCTGGAATTAAATCAGAAGTTTCTAGTCAGGAGGCTTTTGAGGCACAACCAACCTAGACTAGAGATCCTCACTTGACATTAACATGGCAAAGCAAATACATAGTTGGAAGATTTCAAATAGATGGTGTTGGCTCTCTTATTCCACGGTCAAGGGTGATGCAAATGAACTTCGAAAGCCATCTGTCTGAGCCAGGCATAGTAGCACACACCTGTCTTTCTAGCTATTCCCTGGAGGCTTATGGGAGAGGCTCATTAAGCCCAAGAGTTTGAGGCCAGCCTGGATGACTAGTGAGACCCCAGTCTCTCCCTCTACAAAAAAGCCGTCTGTCTGAATATCTGAATCAATACCCCTCGACTCTTTGTACAGTGGCCTCTGACTGAATCAATAAGTACTTTTTGTATGGTGGCCTCTCTGGCCCACAGGCCGCTGAGATGGAGGAGTCTAGAGTCAGAGTTGGGTCCCTTTGGATCTGTGGAGACATTTTGCTTTCATGCTCCTTTTCATCATCTTCCTCACTTTCTGTTTTGACCCACACATGGTGTGGAAGAGCCGAGGGAGCTCTGAGCTTGGCTTGCAAGCATGGTTGGGAGATGGGTAGGGCACACAATCCCAAATTCTCATGTCTTTGTATTTCATTTGTTCTTTCAAGTTGAGTTTTGAGTATCCTAGGAGGAAAGGCGATGGGAGGCAGGCTGAAGAATCTCAAATAGTTACCATGCTTTTAATGAAAGAACATTCCAAGACCACCTTCCACTTTGAAGTTCTATTTTATATTTTTATCTTTTATTCAAGACCAGTCCATGCTAGAAAAATAAGGTGTTAAGACCCCCTCTTTGGGAGGCTGACATAGGTGGATCACCTGAGGTCGGTGTTTGAGACCAGCCTGACCAACATGGAAAAACCCTTTCTCTACTGAAGATACAAAATTAGCTGGGTGTGGTTGCACATCACCTGTAATCCCAGCTACTCGGGAGGCTGAGGCAGGAGAATCACTTGAACCTGGGAGGTGGAGGTTGTGATGGGCCGAGATCGCGCCATTACACTCCAGCCTGAGCAACAAGAGAGAAACTCCATTTCCAAAGGAAAAAAAAAAACCTAAAAGGACTGTAGTTTAATAACTGTCCCTAAGAAACCCAGAAAGAACTCAGGGCTCATCCTGGAGTCTGAAGCTAGAAAACTTCACTTTGCCTTCTCCTCCCCTCAGAGTGTTCTGTACAATTGAGTCCTCTAAATTCCTGTGGTACAGCAGGTCAGGATAGAGGATGAAGCTTGCAGAGAGTGGGGGACCATGCGGAGGAGAGACTCCATCTTCAGGAGACTGGGAAACACTGGGCTGAGCGTGTGATAACGTGAGCTGGGAGGGGCAGAGAGTCCAGAGAGGAGAGGGAGCCGGAGACAAAGAAGGGCAGGCCTCTTTCCATGGGGAGTGGAATTACTTGTCTGTGGCTTCCTGGGGTACTTTCCAGCTCCTGTGAATCCCCATGTGATTTATCCCCCACCCTCCAAATGTGTCTGCAGGTATTCTAGAAGGATTTGACCCTCCTCACCCATGCGGCGTGCAGGGCTGCCCCGCTGGTTATGAATGCAAGGATTGGATCGGCCCCAATGATGGGATCACCCAGTTTGATAACATCCTCTTTGCTGTGCTGAACAGTCTTCCAGTGCATCACCATGGAAGGGTGGACCACCGTGCTGTACAATGTGAGTAGAGCTGGGGGGGTGGGGGGACTGGGGAGGAGGAGGGGAGAGCCACGGACTGAGGCTTCTGGGGTTGTCTGGTCCAGCCAGTTCAGGGAGGGCTGTAGGTATATGTGTATTGGGGTGAGAAGTGAAGACTCAACTGGTACAAGCCTTAGCAGTTCATAACCCGCTTCTGTCTGGCCTCTTGCTAAGTACAAATATACAGCTTCTTAATACAATTAGGAAATGACATCCTATGTTGGATAGGTGAACACGTTAGTTAAGTCAGATCAGCTTGATAGTTACAGAACGTGTTGGTTGGACATGGCGGTGGGGTATAGTGAAGAGTGCTAATAATGTATAATACTGGCTGCACAGTAGAATTAGCTGGAAGCTTAAAAAAAGTTTATTACCCCCTCAGGATCTGGGAGAATTTACTATAAAAAGAATGAAGAGAAAAGAATTATACCAACTGGGCTCCATCCCAAACCAATTAAGTAGGGATATTTAGGGGTGAAGGCCTGTCATTGACTTTTCTAAAGAGCTTCCTATCTGATTCTCATATGTAGCCACTCTGAGGAGCTACTGCATTCCATGCACGTAAAAACCATGCTTCATTGTGAGAGTCACCAGCGGTGCTTGCTGCAAATTCAGATTAACAGGCTCCTTCTCTGGAGATTCTAATTTCGTGTAGTTTTGTAGAGTTGGTGAGCTGTGCTTTTTTTCAAATGCCCAGGTGATTCATGTGATTAGATGTGTTTGGAAGGTTCTGAGCTGGTGCATAAGACAAGGCCGTCTAGCTGCCTGTCAGGGATGCTGGGGATTCCTGCATGGGGACAGAAGGTAGACAGAGTGATTATGAAGTCTCTTCCACCTTCTAGAGTGTGATTTTAATAAGTTATCAAAGGCAGGTGCAGAGTCCAAGATCAAAAATGAGAGCTGGGTGAGGGATGTGGTTTGATGCACATGCATCCTGGGTGGGTAAAGCAGCGGGGGCAGGTGCTTTTGAAGGACTGTACCCTTACCTGCCTTCCGTCAGCCCACTTTGGAATGATCATGCCTCTTCTGTATGCTCCACCACCTGCCTTTACCTTAAGATGCTCTCTGTTTCCTTCAGGTCCTCTCTAGACCTTTTTAGCCTGATTCTACCTGTGTAAAACTCTTTAGGTGGGACATAGGTGGCTTAGACAAAGCACCTTTTAGAAGGAGCTTTGGATATAGTTCACACTGGAGGGAAGGGAAATGCTGTGTCTCAGAAGAAACTCAACTAGACTCTAATGCCCGAAGAGCAAGGATTGTGTAAGCCCTGGGCAAGAAAGTACTTAGTAAAGGTCCATTGCTAGCCTGGATCCATTCCCATATAGGATGAGCAAGGCAGGACTGAAGCTTTGCAGTAAAGAGTCGCAGGCCATTATCGGAAAGCTCTAAAGGGGAGTGAAGAAGTCCCGAGGACCGGCTTACACCTAGCAAGCCCAGGAAGGAAGTGTGACCTAGAAAGCCCTGGAGGACACTCCGCAGTTCTCACCAGCTGCGGGAGGCAGCAGGAAGGAGGGGAGGGAGGCAAGGTTGATGAGTGCAGTCACTCCTCATTTGAGATGTAAAGGTTGTCTTGAGGCCATGCCATTCAAATTAGCCAGGCGCCTCTAGAAATTACAGCACTGGCCCTGTAGCGGCTGGTGTCACTTGCCGGGCTTTGAGCGTGATGCATTTCAATTATATGTGTAGACTCACCTAAGTGATGTGCTAAATGCATTGAAAGCCTGAAAGGAGAAGTGTCGCATTTGAGGATACAGGTGTGATTGTTGGTCCTCTTTAGCCAAGATTCAGATGGTGCTGAGAGGGGCAGGAGCACAGCTGAGGAACCACTCATTTTTTTCTGCATTAGTTTCTTTGCTCATTCCTTCATTCTTTCAGTGTTTATTAACTGAGCATCTATTACATGCCAAGCACTGTCCTAGGCACTAGGGAAATGGGAAGAAAAAAGTGCCATGATTCCTGCTATCACAGGGCTCTCTTCCAATCCCTGTCTCTCTCCAGTTACCTGTCAACCATAGGTTGAGAAGTTATACACAGGCGGTCATCTTGCTCCTTTCTCTAGTTTTGTGCACCAAGGAAAGGAGGAGGGAGGAGAGGAGATCGAGTTGCAGATTCTCTGAAACCTTTTATGGCAAGAGCATCCAGGGCCCACAGATGTACATACTCTGACTTTCAGTCTGTCAGTCACTGGACTTCAGCTTACTGAAGACCTCCTGCTATTCTGCTGGCTGGATATAGGGCTAGGGAGACTGCCACCCAAAGACTGTCTACCTGTTTGGACTGTCCCTACACACACACACACACACACACACACACACACATTTATATACACTGGTTGTATACCATGAAGTTAACTATGAATGACTAGTCAGCTTAGTATTATAAATACATGTATAAATATATGTGTGTGTTTCTGCATAAAGAAAAATGTCTCACGAAGCGTTCCCACAACCACCACCAATAAGGTGCAAATACAAATCTAAAGGTGTTGATTTCCTTTCTACCACTCCTCATTCTGGGAAGGCCCAGTTCACCCAGCTGCTGGATTTGTTCATGCGGAGCACTAAGAGAAGGGAGCCCCTGTTTCCCAGCCCTATGGTTCTTCTCTTCAATGGTGCAACAAACATGTAAGCTTTATTGTTGTCATTTAAATCCAAACCAGTAGGAGAATCTTCAGGTTTACCCAGTAGGAAGAAGCTCTCAAGCATGTGGGCTCAGTTTAACATTTTTATATACAATGTAAATACTTCCCTCATCTTTGCATCCCTTTTGTGTAGCACAGACTCTTCCTACATGCCTCCCTATGACCTTGTGTTGCTCTGCCATGGATTACTATTAACTTGATTTACATGTGACTTTTCTGAAGAAAATGAATTATTGTAAGGGGGAGGGTTCCCATTGTCAGGGCAACCTGGAGTCACCAGTGCTTCACTGGGTCTCATCCCAATGCCACCTGCTTGGTCAAACTCCAACAATTTTGTTAGTTACCCTCCGTCCTGTGGCAGAAGGCATGCAAAACTGTGCAGTTCTGGCTCTTGCTACCTGTTTGCCCTGTGTCTCCCAAGGTCTCCTCAACCTGCAAACTCTCTTCTGGACTCTGGGTTTACTCTGAGTGAGATGGGAAATCAGGGGAGGGTTTTGCGGAAAGGAGTGACATGACCTGTCTTGTGTGTGAAAGTGGATCCCTCCACCTCCTTTGAGAGAGCAAAAGTACTAGCAGGGAGTCAAATCAAGGTTATTGCAAGGATCTTGAAAAAATCATGATAGAGGCTTGGGCCAGGGAGGTAGCAGTGGAGGAGGTGGAAAGTGGTTGGTTTCTGGAGATATTTTTCAGCTGAGCTCATGGGATTCTTTGATGGATTGAATATGAGTTTGGGAGAACGAAGCAAGAGTGGAATTGCCATTAACTGAGAAGAATGTGGGGAGGAAGAGGAGAATGGAGTTTGGATGTGTTAAATTTGCTGTGCTCATTTGATATGGTAGTATAGGGAAGAAGGTGAATAAATGAGCTGAGGGTAGGAGGCTTGGCTGAAGAGATAAATCTGGGAGGTTTCAGCGTATATATGGAAGAGTTTTGAGACTGGCTGAAACCACCAAGGAAGTGGATATATAGAGAGGAGATTTCACGACTGAGTTCTGATGTTAAGGTGAAGAGAAAAACAGTTACCAGCAAAGAAGACTGAGAAGGAGCAGCAGGGAGATAAGAGGAAAATCAGAAACCTGGTGTCCTGGGGCCAAGTGCAGAGAGCGCTGCAGATGGAGAAAGTCAAGGATGGTCAGGTCAGTTCTCTGAAGAAGTGTTTTTCCTATCATAGGATTATTCAGTTAAGAAAAGGTTTTTACTAGAGTATCTTGCTAATCATTTCTTGGGCATTTGTGTAAATTACATCCACAGATTCTCTTGAATTCCCATTCATATTTACTCTTTGAAAAACTCTTACCTATATGCTTTGCTCGTTTGAATCCAATGCTTCAGATGGGTCAAGGAAAGTGAAGACTAAGAATTAACCACTGAATGCCAGGAGCAGTTTGAGCAGAGTGGGAAGGATTTAAGAGAGCAGTGGAAACAGCATGGAAGAAATACCACCTCATGCTGATAGGAATGATCCATTTGAGATAACAATTATTGATGAAGGAGAGGGAGGAGAATTGGGGTGATTTCCTTGAACAGGTGTGTGTTTGGTGTGGGAGGTCTAGACAACAGGTATAGGACTTGGCTTGGATGGGAGCTCTAATCATTCATTCATAGTACTAGGAGTAGGGGAAGAGCAAGTGGCTGCAGAGGCTGGTATGTGGGTAGATGTGGTGTTGGAAGCTTGTAGACATTCTCTTCCTATTGCTTCTATTTTCTCAATGAAAGAAGAAGTAAGGTCATCAGCTGAGGGTAGGAGGAGGAAAATGTTGAAAGTTGGAAGAGAAGGTATAACATTGTCTTCCAGAAGATTGAGGGAGTAAGTGGAGTAGGGAAGTGCATTGGGTTGCTGGACAGCTTTAAGGACTCACTTGGAGTTAGTGGTGATAACGTTCAAATGAGACTAGCGAGCCTGGTGCGTTTTCCTCTGGGCAGATTCAGCCACGGAGTCTCAGGTGGGAAGCAGGTGGAGAGTTGGCTTTGACGAGTGTGGTTTCGCCAGGTGAGCACAATAAGATGCGAGACGTTGAGGAGAGAGAGTGTAACAAAGCCATGGAATTTGAGCTGGATAAAGAGCAAAGAGGTGGGGGAGAGACGGAAAAGGAAGGAGAGTACGTGAATTAGAGACCGTGTTCGAAATGTGACTCTTGAATCTGCTGGACAAATTCAGTCTGCGGAGTAAGTTAAGAAACCTGTCTGCTGCATGGAAGTAGGGAGTGGGTTTTGAAACCAAATGTTCTGATTTCTAATTTGGTGCCCCAGCTGCCCGCAGGGAAGGAGAGTGTGTGCACGTGCCGCACATGTGCAGAGTAAGCTGTGACCGGGTGCCGGCACACCGCCGGGCCTCTATGAC